ACTGTGCAGAATGATGTATGTGCTGAGTTTGACACTAGAAGGATGTTTTCTCATTCTTCTGCTGAAAGTGGAAAGTTTCTCTGTGTTCATCTGATTTGTGCCTATGAGCATGATTTGTGACATCATAAATAGTCTAGAAGGTCAATCCAAGTCAAGTGTATTGTAGAAACTTGAAGCACAGACACTGAGAATGGACTTTACAGTGAAGTAGAGACATCTTGTGTCCAGCAGGAAAAACTAAAGAAATGTGCATATTCAGGACGCCCCAATAGCTCACCTGGTAGAGCTTGCACCCCATGTACCAAGGCTGAGTCCTTGCTGCAGTGGCCATGGGTTGGAATTAGACACACATTATTGTTCCAAGCTGACTATTTGCATGTGTCTTAATGTCTGGAGGGGGTGTTTGCATATTCAGCACTAAATTAGAAACAGTCAGAGTTAAAAAGCAAGAGTTTAACATGTAAAAACAAACTTAATTTTCAGGACTGTGTGGTTTGATCAGACTTGATTGACACTAATGTAATCAGATCCTGATACAAATGCTGCTAAATTCTAATTGAAGCTACATGATGTTACACTATATTCACCCAAGACTCCAAAAAGAACTATTTTAGATGTTTTGGTTGGTTGGCCTAGTGGTTTATGATACACACCATGTTGTGCAACGTCCCTGATTCAATTAAGGCTATGGACATTTGTTGCATGTCAGGCCTGTCTCTCCCTTTCAGTCTCTGGTCAATAAAAGGCAAAAATGCTGAAATTTGGCTGCATAGCAGTCTGCAGTGACTGACCCACTGACAATGGGGTTTTATATCCAAACATGTTTCAGTATGTAAACAACTTGTCAGACTCCAATAAATGTTTTTATAAATTATACATCTTGATCTGAAATAGCCTGAACAATTTCACACAACTGATCATGTTTCTGACATGTTTACAGCAAAGTGTCATCATGTCTGCCCGTGTCTGTCAGTCTAGTGTGTGGTGAGGAGCTTGGTGTGTAACCACGTGTTTGCGTGCACTGTCCAGTGTCGTTCAAAGCATCAGCGGTGGAAAGGTGTGATGTTAAGTGTGATTTTTGTGCTTAAAGTTAAAGAAGTCACACATCTTCCTGTGGTAACACCTGTCAATCAGATGTATGAAACTTGTGTTCACTGAGGTCCACTCTGTACATAGATAATACATTTAAGTTGCTTTTTAATAATACACATGGATAGATTATGAGACAATGGGCCCTTGGCCACAAGTGAGATAAAAGCCCCCTGCAGGCGGAGCAATGTTTCTCGTAGTAGTTGTTTGTTCTCAGATTTTGCAGGTTAACCATTTTTGAAAACTGCTTCTTCTCTTCTGTATTTCATTCACACTGGAAATGAAGAGAGGTTGTTTTCTAATCTGACATACAAAATACTATTGGACACTGTACTGAACATTATAGGAAATTCAACTTCAATTAAAGATTATTTGATTATTGACTAATCTGCTGATTATTTTCTTGATTAATATGGTCTATATATTTCAGAAAATAGTGGACCAACAATCCAACACTCAGATATTCAGTTAAGGGATGCAGGAAGTCAGTCAGAGTCGGTGGTGCAGAGAGAAAGTCAGTCTATATAATGACATCATACTAAATGCATGCCACTCATGGTTTTTGGCTTGACTTTTTGAGAATAAAACATAAAAAAAACAAGACAAAACCTCTTTCCTGCAAGTCATTAACAGTTTGAATATTTTTATGAACTAATGGTTTTCATTATGCCAGATTTTAGGGGGTGTTGCAGCCCCTCTCAGCCCCCCTACTTCCAGCGCTCATGCTTATAGATGTCACCATATCACATACGTCATTAGACTGCATCAGGAAGTCGTTAAACTTGTTTTTTAAAAAGTCTAAATTAATAACATTCTCCACATGGGTCTGATAATTAAAGTAGCTAACAAGTAAACCCATCTTGTTTCTGAAAGCCATCATGGACAACCCCTCTCATCCAATCTACGCTGAGCTGAGGCAGCTCAGGAGCACTTTCAACCGCAGACTGATCCAGCCCCGAGCCTCAAAGAGGTTTGGAGGCTCGTTTGTACCAT